GTTTTCACGTCCGTGCGAACGGCTGACAGCGCGGTGAGCGTTAAAACAATTACACTAGGCTCCAAAAATATTTGTCCATCTACATTTTGATTACATTGCCAAAAAAAATCATTTTATAAAGAAAACAGTTCAACTTAATCAGACTTTTTTAAAAGTTTATTATTGGATGGTCCAAGTAATTTTGGAAAGTAGTGTAGCGTAACGCGCGATTTGCACTACGCTCGTGCGAACACTTGTATGAAGTTCCATATGTTCCATTTTATTTTTACGCTAACGCCTAATGTCCAAAATGGAACAGTGCGCGTAGAGAAATACGCCGAGAAGAAAAACGCCCCCGTATGAACAGCTTCATACAATCCCATACGTTCTATTTTGACACATAGTTACCGCCTAGCGTTTTCGCGTCCGTGCGAACGCTCGCTTATGGTGAATATTTAATTTCATAAACATGAGGTCAAGTACTACTTTGTTATAAATGAGGTCATTAACTTGTCTTATGAAAATAAGATGATATCGATTATACAGTTAATTAAAAGACAATCGATTTATAAATCAGGTCAAGTATAAGTTAGTGAAGTATTAAGTACAATTAAATTGTAAATTTCCACTAAGATTTATGAATTTACTTTTCTGTGTTTTATATAAATATCAGTGTCTAAAATGTCTTCAGTAAATAGAATAAGACGAATTGTAAATGGACGTTTTTATAAAAGTGACGAATAGGCTTATAATTTAAGCAAGGCGTGATAAACAAATATTTAGACGCTAGAATTTTTTTCGATAAACTGAAAGTCTGAAATATAATTGTGATACATTGAAAATGTACAAGAGATTTTATATAAGTATCCAAACTTCAATAGCAGTTTAATTCTGGTTTTCAGGTGCCGGAGGCCTAATTTTAGTCCCTTTTCCTTTCCACCCTTTTCTTAAGAGGAAAGGATGGGAGGAAAAAGTGGATAGGACGGTGAAGGAGATGCATAGGTGGGGGAAATGTCCCCTTTATGTGCGTCTCCTTCTCCGTCAATTAGGGTAGGCAACGCATCTACAATAGCGGATGTTTATGGGCAGCGGTCGCTTTCAATTTCGGTGGATTCAGGTCACGCTTGCTCGTTTGCCACCTCGTATAATAAAAAAAAAATATATTATTTTGTAACTACAATACCTCGAAAAACGGTGTATGTAGTTTGATACGTAGGAACTAGCCTCGTAATTCTTAAATAAATATGCAATCAAACAACATAAATATTAACAGTTATGTAATTTTGTTTATAATATGTTATTTCTATAAATATAATGGGACTATAGAGATACTATAGATAACGAGAGGAATATTCTGCGGAGGACAAAATGTTTGCTTTAAGATAACGCAGAAAGTTAGAACAAATTACTGTTCATTTTGCTAAAAAAAGTATAAAAACGTAGTAGTATATAAAGGACAATAATCAACTAACAGAGGCGAGTAATTTAGTGTACCCCATCTTTGCTATAGGGTGTGGTCGGTTCTAGTGAATAGGGGTGTGGTTCAATCACATTACGTAGCATATAAGACCAATGTATAGCAAATAAACATCACTATCTCAACATTGTGCGAAATAATAGTTTCATTACGTCCTAAACCTAACAGAACAGTCAGATAATTAAAGCTTTGCGATTGGGAAATTCTGTCTCATAGTATCTGTAGGTTACATTTTTTTACGAAAAAAAAAGTTAGCGTCTAATCTATACTAAAATTATAATGATTTGTAGATTAGTGTTTTTTATACGTATTGAAATAACTCAAAAACTACTGGGCCGATTTTAAAAATTCTTTCACCATTAAAAAAACTACGCTATAGGTGTGTAACAGACTGTTTTTAATTTTTTATATTTCACGGAACGACGTCCTGAGCAACAGCTAGTTTGATATAAAGATATTGAATACAAAAACATTACGAAGATATCTTGCCAACAAACAGCACACAAACGTCACAGAATAAAAAATTGCACAAACATAAAAAGCGATTTGTCCGCTCTATAAATAAATACACTGTATCCAGCGAATTATTTTCCGTTTCAACACCCACGTATCACTCAATGACGCAAATTCTAATCGTGGGCTTACACTGGAGACGGTGAGCGTTGTCCAGTCTTAGTTTCGGTTGGATCAACGCCAGACCACTTCAAAGTCAAACATCACCTTATAAACATTAAAATCTTAAATATATCCGAGACGACATTCAGACTTCAACTGCTAAGAAAAAATATTATCATTTTAACATCCTACTCGTCTCAAACAAGGTTAAAAACCAATATCTCTAAGTCGACTGTACTCTTACGACTCTGAAGAACAATGGGAATCGAATGACTTACTCTTCGAAATTCGTCAGAGCACATAGAGACATAGACTTATAAAAGAACAGATATATCGAATTGAATAGAACATTTATGTCAATTAGTTTTCAAGTGGAAGGACAATTAGCTTCGCTTTTAAACTCTTCATCTATTTTCAATACTCCGAGCAGTCGCACCTTTGACTAAACTATCGCACAACTGTGCGATTGTTTCAGATTACATTCGATCCAAAATCCACCCCACATAAAGTAGGACAAGAAAAAGGAGATGATACCGATTTCTCCAATTTACCAACAGGTCGATTAATTAAAAACATAAATAATGACGATTCAACTGACAAGTAAAGTCTGGTTGCATAGCGTAACAAAGTATTGAAGCTACACGAGGTCCTTGCTCGTGTTTACGGACGTCGCATCTCGCACGTACAACAAACACTTGAGATTATTATAGATAAACTACTTTTATTTGCATATGTCTTTTTATAACACTTATCGGAATGTATTTGATGTATCAAAAAGATATTTTTCATACAAATGATAACGAGTACAAATAGATAATGTAATTTAATCGTCAGTTTTCATTGTCGAAACTTTCTTTACAATACAAATCTTACTAATACTATAAATGCGAAAGTTTAGATGGCTGTTTGTTTGTTAGAGTTTGTATTATAGCCTTAACGGCTAAACGGATCTCGATAAAATTTCGCACCAATGTAGAAAATAGTCTGGAAGAACATTTTCTACATCTATGCGGAATTTCAATTTTTTTTTTAGTTCCAAGCAGACGGAGTCGCGGGCGAAAGCTAGTTACAACATATTTTGTACCAATTTTTTTACAGATTAATGACGATGAGGGGAACCGAATGGAGCGGAGATGGGACGCTAAGGAGCATAATCTCCTTTGTCTATAAAAGACTAGCTGTTGCTCGCGATTTCGTCGACGTGAATTAAAAAAATTAATAAAAAACATAGCCTATGTTACTCACAGATAAATTACCTTTCTAACG